GCAGGCCGACCTATCACAGTCTCTACCAGGTGGAGTACTGCTGTCGTCTGGACTCACTGTTTCGGCTTTCTGCCAATGTGTACAGCAACAGGTTTCGCTCTCACGAGTGCTGCCAGATTGCCTCGCTGTCGGTGGCGGTACAGGCGCATACACTGGTGACTGCTTTGCATACCTTTTTTGCCTTTAAACACTGGGAAAATATTGCCATTGTGTATGAGGTGAGCCAACTGAATCTGCATGCTGCCGTACTGGCGGAAACCATTCAACTCTTCTTGTCCAGAATACGCGACAGTTCGGCAGAGCTTAATGCCTTTATTATGCTCAGCCTTCATTGGGATACCGACCCACGAGTTTTGATGAAGCAACTCGGGACGGATTGTGAAGGTGTGTTTCACATTTTCCTTCCTTGATGAGTATTTAAAGAGAGAAAGAAAGAGAGACAGAGAGAGAGATAAATATATTTTATTTTGAGGATGGTGTCCAAACGTTTCAGCAAGAAATGGCTTCATTCACTGAGACCGGCGTATACGCTTATAAAATACTCAAAAATCTAGAGGTTTAAGTGAAACCCACCTCCGCTATAGAGACAGGTCAAAGCTCAGCTTCTGGAGTTCCCTTTCTTTACGCATGAGGTAGCGTGCCAGGAATGGGAGGAGGACAGAGTGCTGATATGCCGGTGTACGGCAGGACACATGACAGAAACTTCCGCTCATAGAACGGGAAAACTTCAGGGCATTTAACAGAGAATGGATTGGATGAGCAACCTCATCAAGAATATGATCAGCAAAAAATAAATTTAAGTCAAGAGCACAATTCGGCTAAGAGTGCCTACTGCTACGAGGCAAGGAGACAGTTATGCGAAAAATAAGCTCTAGTGGACCCTTAATTTAACTGACACCGTCAATCCTAAGGGTTTAAATCTTTTCACCACTTAAATAACTCACCGACTTTTCCAGTTGGCCCCCCATGGCACCCTCTTAAACTCCAGCTTCGACGTCAGGCCAGCTTAAACTGTTTAAAGGAGTAGACGCCTTGGCCTCATTTGTTGTGGTTGGGATCCAGCTCGATCTCATTTTGTCTATCCACCAGCCGAACTACTGGCGGTTCCAAACACTACTCAGCTCCCGTAATTGTCAAAACATCAGTAACTCGTTAGGGTACTAACACGCCAGGCCCAGCCAGCTGCTTGAAGTTCATTATCTATCGTCAGTTAACCATAGGTCTGTCTTGTAGCTTTTTGAGTATGATGCATAAAGGGCTCAATGCCCAATACTCTTGACCAACTGAATGACTGCATTAAGTAATATAAGTTTGAAACGTCATATTGGCAAACAATTGTTTTCAGTCATTTATCATCGGGTCGTTACAGTGACATTGAGAATAAAATGGTAGGGAGGTAAAGACAGACTACCGTTACAGGCCACATAGATGTGCATCTTTTCTTTCACCTGATCCTGTGGAGCATGATATATTGGCCGAACAACGCGACGTCTGGAGAAGAGAATACGCAAGCACATACCAGCCCGGCTTACCAAAGGAGAGAATAGATCGATCTCAAGCTCAATCATCACCCACCTAATTGATGCGAACTGTGGGGTAAAGTGAACGCCAGGTTCAACAATTTGGGATACGATGTGGTCCGGCCAGATAATAGGCGATCGAACGTATCCCAACATTTATAAGCTAGTGGATATGATGAGGCGTGATGGGCCGGATTGTTATAGATAATTTAACATAGTGTTGAATAAGTAGAATATAAGTAATGAGTAAGTGACTCCCAGACAAGTGCAGTCCAGCCA